TCCCCCACATTCTACACCCCCACTATTCTCTCTGAACCCTCAATAAACCTAATTTAATATCCTACCCTCACACTACCCAAAACTCTGTCCCCCCTGCATTACCTGCACACTGCACCTCTTGGATCCCCACTATCCCACATGTTGCACCCCCATGATCCATCACTACTCAATTTGCACCCCCGTTACACCTCACTCTGCATCCACTGCATCCCTTTTGACACTTAGTAACCCCTGCAGGCCAAATCTGGGCTGTTCCCTTCTCTGAGATTTTCGGTCAAGTCTCCCTTGGAGGCGGTGCACCCACTGTGCCCCTTCTGCAGCAGTTCTCATGATGCCCAAAACAACGTTTACAGCTGATCCTCAAAACTTACCATGCTGGAAGCTCCGCCTAGACAGCCCACCACCATGCCGGGTGCAGGGGACTCTCGAAGTTGTAGTCAGAGAGGCATAAGAAGTGGCCAGAGACGGGGGAATTGGAGGATGAGGGAATGGAGGACTGCGTCCACAGGCTGCCCCATCAGTGGCCATATTACCATTGTTGGGGTCACGCAGAGATTATGGCGACCAATATATTGACCCTTTAATGTAATATATCTTCCTGGGACCTTGTTAGCACATCTGGTCTTCACAGTATTATTAATATTGATTTGTATCAGTTTCTTAATATTATTTCATATTATAGCTATTACTGCCATGTATTCCTGTTATTTTATTATATACATTTCTTTCATTGTTATCACATTATACCGTGACATTGTGTTATGAACCTTCCTCCAGAGACTGGCTCAGTGTTCTCTGTACAACACTGCGTTATACACTCACCTGTCACTTTATTAGGTACACCTGTTCAATTGCCTGGTAACACAAATTGCTAATCAGCCAATCACATGGCAGCACCTCAATGCATTCAGATATCTAGACATGCTGAAGACGACTTGCTGAAGTTCAAACCGAGCATCAGAATGGGAAAGAAAGGTGTTTGAGGTGACTTTGAACATGGCATGGTTGTTGCTGCCAGTCTGAGTATTTCAGGGATTTTCAGCCACAACCATCTCTCGGGTTTACAAAGAATGGTCCGAAAAAGAGAAAATATCCAGCGAGCGGCAGTTGTGTGGACAAAAATGCCTTGTTGAGGTCAGAGGAGAATGGGCAGACTGGTTGGAGATGATAGAAAGGCAACAGGAAATCAAATAACCTCTCTTTACATCCGAGGAATGAAGAATACCATCTCTGATGGTAATTCATCCACAGAGGGCGGACCTACAGCTCTTTGTTCACTCTGCAGGTTTAGATGTATGGGGTGCGGCTGTGTCAAGGTTTAGAAGAGTCCATCCATCTATAAATTAAGTTCTAGGCCGGGTCTGGTGGGCTGCCATTGCCTTCTTCTAGCTCTGGAGGACCTCATGAAGATACGACTCGGTTTTATATTTCACCTTCTAGATCAGTCTTGACGTTTTATCTGTGTTTTATTTGCTGGAAATCTCTGAACTTGAAGTGCACATGTGCCGGATCTGAGCTCCATAAATGAAGGAGGAAGGGAACTTTGGAACATGTGTAAAACATGAAAATTATTTCGCATATTCCCTACCTATTACAGGTACTTCTGGTTGCTATTCCAACTGCATCCTTGAAATCAGTGAACAGAGTTTTTCTTTAATCTCTATGGACTGAGGCTCCGCAAATTGGGGGAGGGGGGTGGGTGGCTATCTCCGTTCCTGACATTTCTTTACACGAAGCAGCATGTCACCTAAGGAGGATAGTCAACTGGTGTGGCCATGGCTCCATCAAGCAATGGGTTCACACTGAGCAAACATCCTCTGTGGTCCCCTTTTCATCCCTACCTTGGTGCCCAGCGGGGATTGCATTGACACTCAAGATGCAGTCTACTATTGACCCCTTCGTCACAGATTCTTTAGGAGAGCTCACCTGCCCTGTCTCCTCTGTCCTCCATTTTTGGGAACACAGCTTTATTTCCAGGTCTTGCAATCTTCCAGTTGTCCAGATCTGACCCTTTGTAGTGCACACCAGTTTCTAAGAAACCAAAGATGGCCTTCCCGTGAGCAGCTCCTGGGTGACCCACATACATGGCTTTTAGGATTTTGAAGATCGGTGCAGTTGTCCCATTTTCTGCAGTCACTGCCTACATATCTTCTCACCCTTTGACAATGTTTGAGGTTAGCTGTTGTCAAACGGGTACACTTAGATATGCTGTAGGATGTACAACTTACTAAACGCTTCAACCCGATGGCCTCTCTCTCTCTCTCTCGTACATTACCAAATGGGAAGGAGACTTCAGTTTACACCGGATGCTATAGACCGGATAATGTTCTTCACTCAGAAGACCTCTGTTACCGCAAAATACTAGGAATCGGACTTTAAGCTTCGGACTCGATAGTATAGGAAACCTCAGGTGTTACCCTCGATGTTCTTGAATCTCCCGGATACCTGTTGGCGTTGTGGCCAGGAAAAAGGGAATCCATGCATCTACTACACAGGCCTCGAATATTTCTGATCAGAATTTAGGTACATTTTTTGACTTTTTCTGATTCTCCGATTACCAATGAACCAGATTTTTTTTTTCTTCCTACAGCATAGGGAAAAAAAGAACAGAACAATGGATCTGACCATCTCCTCCATTTCCCATTTTGGGGAACCTGGCTTTGTTTCTGGGTCTCTCGTAGACACGTACCGAGACGTGTCTACATAAAAAGGTACTACCTTATCGTGTTGATTCAGCGAGACGTCGTACACCTGAATTGTGGAGGCGTCCCCCCTCCAGACTAATGTGCATTCACAAGGTCAGTGGGATTGAATGGAGGATCAAGGTTTGTCCTCAAGGGGATCACATGATAAATTTCGGAGATCACTGTTGTATTGGAAAGATTTCTCTACCACACCATGCTGTATGGTGTACCGCTTGCTAAACTCTCCATCCGTTGGCCTCTCTCTCATACATTACCAAATGGGAAGGGGACTTCAGTTTACACCGGATGCTATAGACAGGGTAATGTTCTTCATAGCTAGCACAAAATACCAGAAATCAGGCTTTAGGCTTCGGACTCGATAGTATAGGACACCTTAGGTGTTACACTCGATGTTCCTGCACCTCCCGTATAAATGTCAGGAAAAAGGGGACCTACGACACATTTGTTTGGACCTGCAAAGATGTGAGATGATGTCGGGAAGAAGAAGTCGGGTGCATTTTTCGGAAATTTAATGATTTTCCAATTCTGAACCGGTTTTTTTTTCACTACATCACAAAATTTTATACCGAGACGTGTCTACAAAAAAAAATCGATGCTACTACGTCTTGTTGATGGAGCGAGAAGTTGTATACCTGAATTCTGGAGGCAGACATGTCCCCCCTCCATGCTAATGTGCATTAACAAGGTCAATGAGACTGAAAGAATGGAGGATCCAAGTTTGTCCTCAAGACGATCACACAATAAATATCGGAGATCGTGGTTTTAGTGGTAAGATTTCTCTACCACACCAGAATATCATGACCTCATGAAGAGTGGCTCCTTGGTAGGGCTTTGTGTTTTGAGATGCGGATGGAGGGACGGCTCTGGCCTCCATATTGCTCTGACTTTAACCTTTCTGCTTCTGTCTTGTGTCTATCCCTTTGCTTTCACTCTGTTCTTGTCTTGCTATTCCTCTTACTGGTTCTACGTCTGCATTTCCTTTATTGGAAGAGAATTCTCTGAAAATCATCTGCAGTCATGTTTGATATTTCCTTTATATATCTGAACATATACGGTATGCATCGGCTGCATTGACTCTATAACTTCCCACTTCGGGCCTCACAGGTCTACGGAGAGGAGCCGAGACTGCCATAGGATGTTCATTTCTCAATACTCAGGACTGTATGGTCTGTTCCGGGTGCTTGTACCACCTGTATGTTGTTCTTTCTACTATGGGCACTCATGGCTGTTGTATTATTTACATGTTTCTGTATTCCTGCTATTTGTCTTTTAAAAACTCAAATGAAAAATGTATTTAAAAAAAAAAAAAAGGAGGATGTGAACGGTGGAAGCTGCACCAAAACATGACGCAGAGGACAGAGGACTAGTATTTATAATTATGGCAAAACAAAAGAATGCAATTCAAACGGAAAATTGATGCACAAAATGATAAAGTGCACACTTTAATGGTATAAATATATGACATTATGACAATGTTCTAAAATGATTACCATCGAGGTAAGGAAAATCCTTCTTCCTGATGACCACCCTTTTTCTTTTATACCCTACAGTTGTTCTATGGACTATCTTACAATTGTTCTATGCACTAAACAGTTCCACCTGTGAAAAGCCATTGTACATTTGTCATAAGAACCAGCTGGCGCTGTCTATTTAGACTTCTTTTCCCGCAGTCAGTGAGGACGCTCCGCAGTATGTTTCTCGGTGAAAGATTTGCTGTAGTCTGAACATGAATAAGGACGTTCACCGGTGTGAATTTTCTGGTGTGTAAGAAGGACTCCCTTCTGAGTGAGACACTTCCCGCACTCTGAACATGAATAAGTGCGCTCACCTGTGTGAATCCTCGGATGTTTAACAAATTCTCCTTTGCAAATGAAACATTTTGAACACTCTGAACATGAATAGGTTCACACACCTGTGCACTCTGAACTGGAATAAGGATGTTCAACAGTGTGAATTTTCTGGTGCTGGACAAGGGTTCCTTTCTGAGTGAAAGATTTCCCGCACTCTGAACATGAAAAAGGACGCTCACCTGTGTGAATTTTCTTGTGCTGGATAAGGGATCCTTTCTGGGTGAAAGATTTCCCGCACTCTGAACATGAAAAAGGACGTTCACCTGTGTGAATTCTCTGGTGTTGAAGAAGTGCTGATTTATCAGAGAAAGATTTCCCGCACTCTAAACATGAATAAGGGCGCTCACCTGTGTGAATTCTCTGGTGTTTAACAAGGTGTCCTTTCTCAGTGAAAGATTTCCCACACTCTGAACATGAATAAGGACGCTCACCTGTGTGAATTCTCTGGTGTTGAACAAATTCTGCTTTGCGAATAAAAATTTTTGAACACTCTGAACATGAATAGGTTCGCACACCTGTGCACTCTAAACTTGGAAAAGGATGCTCACCTGTGTGAATTGTCTGGTGTTGAACAAATGCTCCTTTTTGAGTGAAAGACTTCCCGCACTCCGAACATGAATAAGGATGCTCACCCGTGTGAATTCTCTGGTGTTTAAGGAGGACTCCTTTCTGAGTGAAAGATTTTCCGCAGTCTGAACATGAAAAAGGACGCTCACCCGTGTGAACTCTCTGGTGTGTAACAAGGGTTCCTTTCTCAGTAAACGATTTCCCGCACTCTGAACATGAATAGGGACGTTCACCTGTGTGAATTTTCTGGTGTTGAACACGTGCTGCTCTGTGAGTGAAAGATTTCCCGCAGTCTGAACATGAATAAGGACGCTCACCAGTGTGAATTTTCTGGTGTCTAGCAAGGTCTCTTTTCTCAGTGAAAGATTTCCCGCACTCTAAACATGAATGCGGTCGTTCACCTGTGTGAATCTTCTGGTGTTTAACAAAGTCTGCTTTGCGAATGAAAGATTTTTTGCACTGTGAACATGGGTAGGTTTGCACACCTGTGAGACTTCTCGGATGTAAAATATTTATTTTCGCAGAAAAACATTCTTTGCACTCTAAACAGGAAAAATGGCGTTCACCTGTGTCAAAATGTTGGTGTTCAATCAATGTTATATTCTGGGTGAAACATTTTCCACACACTGAGCATGAATAGGTTTGCTCACCCATGTTGATACTCTGGTGTCTAAGAAGGTTTTTGTTTTCCATTAAAGTTTTCCAACACAGTGCATGTGAGAAAAGATTTTCACCTCTTGGATCTCCTTCATGGGGTGAGGAGGATTCCTTGGGATTAGGTGGATCTCTTGCAGTGTGAGATCTTAGATGGATATTTCCAGTCATAGTATGTGAATGATCAGAAGATTCACCCTGATCAGAGGGATCCATTGATGTCTCCAAACAGTGAGGTCTGTGATGTATATTTTGTATGTGTGGATTCACTCCTGGAGAATCCTGTGTGATGACATTATCTTCTGACTTACAATCGGCAGATAATATAAGATGTCTCTCCGAGGTATTCCTGACATCACACCCATCTGCTGGAGAGAAATGTTTAAATAATGTAAAAATTTCAGTATTCACAGAGCTCTGGCATAATATTGGGTAGAGCCTAACAAGAAATGTAAAAACAAATGAGTTAAAGGATCAAAACAACTATGACACACTGGGCAAAATGGTTTTGTGAATTTAAGACGGCTATGGGGAATAAGAGAGATGGACCTTTTGCGGAAACATAACATTATGTTGAGAAGTGGCGATGGGCCTTTCATATGGTGTACCGTATCTCCTCCTCATGTGTTGGGTGTGACGATGATGGGGGATTTGAATCTGAATATTACAAAATAGAATGTGTTTGTGCCCCAGTTCAGAGCACCTGCAGGCCTTCATTTAGTGATGTGACAGGCCCCACCACATTCCACAAAGAGATGCTCTGGCTGTGATCTTTTATTGCCCATTGCCCATGTGTTGGGGACATGATGTTATATTGAGGAATGGAGATGGACCTTCCATATGGTGTACAGTATCTCCTCATTTGTTGGGGACATGACGTTATATTGAGCAATGGAGATGGATCTTCATATGGTGTACAGTATCTCCTCCTCATTTGTTGGGGAAATTACGTTATATTGAGGAATGGAGATGGACCTTCCATATGGTGTACAGTATCTCCTCATTTGTTGGTCACATGACGTTATATTGAGGAATGGAGATGGACCTTCATATGGTGTACAGTATCTCCTCATGTGTTGGTCACATGACGTTATATTGAGGAATGGAGATGGACCTTCATATGGTGTACAGTATCTCCTCATGTGTTGGTCACATGACGTTATATTGAGGAATGGAGATGGACCTTCATATGGTGTACAGTATCTCCTCATGTGTTGGTCACATGACGTTATATTGAGGAATGGAGATGGACCTTCATATGGTGTACAGTATCTCCTCATGTGTTGGTCACATGACGTTATATTGAGGAATGGAGATGGACCTTCATATGGTGTACAGTATCTCCTCATGTGTTGGTCACATGACGTTATATTGAGGAATGGAGATGGACCTTCATATGGTGTACAGTATCTCCTCATGTGTTGGTCACATGACGTTATATTGAGGAATGGAGATGGACCTTCATATGGTGTACAGTATCTCCTCATGTGTTGGTCACATGACGTTATATTGAGGAATGGAGATGGACCTTCATATGGTGTACAGTATCTCCTCATGTGTTGGTCACATGACGTTATATTGAGGAATGGAGATGGACCTTCATATGGTGTACAGTATCTCCTCATGTGTTGGTCACATGACGTTATATTGAGGAATGGAGATGGACCTTCATATGGTGTACAGTATCTCCTCATGTGTTGGTCACATGACGTTATATTGAGGAATGGAGATGGACCTTCATATGGTGTACAGTATCTCCTCATGTGTTGGTCACATGACGTTATATTGAGGAATGGAGATGGACCTTCATATGGTGTACAGTATCTCCTCATGTGTTGGTCACATGACGTTATATTGAGGAATGGAGATGGACCTTCATATGGTGTACAGTATCTCCTCATGTGTTGGTCACATGACGTTATATTGAGGAATGGAGATGGACCTTCATATGGTGTACAGTATCTCCTCATGTGTTGGTCACATGACGTTATATTGAGGAATGGAGATGGACCTTCATATGGTGTACAGTATCTCCTCATGTGTTGGTCACATGACGTTATATTGAGGAATGGAGATGGACCTTCATATGGTGTACAGTATCTCCTCATGTGTTGGTCACATGACGTTATATTGAGGAATGGAGATGGACCTTCATATGGTGTACAGTATCTCCTCATGTGTTGGTCACATGACGTTATATTGAGGAATGGAGATGGACCTTTCATATGGTGTACAGTGTCTTCATTTCATTTTTTTGGAACATTAAATGGTGTAGCAAAAACAAATATAAAAACTTTTGAGGAGTAGAGAGTGCTCCACCATACGGGTTTCAACATGTCTACCTGATTTGGAATTAGCAGTAAGCGGTGGGGGAGTAATATCAACAATGTTTTTATATTTAACAATAGTGGATTTTTGTATTCTCTAAAAAATCATGTTCTGTTTATAGTTCATTGCCACGCGTTCTGCTGCAGGCGATCACACTTGACTACAATGCACTGCCACACCCCCTCCCACAGGGAGCCGGCCAGGTTGCAATACAGTGCATTCCAGCAGCTTAACGCCCTGGAACGCACTGTTTATGGTGTGAACAAGCCCTTAAGCAGTAATTCAGACTATTGGCTGCCACTGAAGTGAAACTGAAAGTAAAAGTGAGTGTTACTGAGTAGGAGGTAGGTAGAGAATGAAGAGGGATTGAAGACTCCGCTCCTGAGATACATACCTCGTTAAACACATCAGACTTTCCTGTGCACAGCCCATTCACCACACAAGGAGAGCATAGCACCAGTGATTATCTGAATCTGGTGGTTCACTATGATACTGAGCTGGGTAATGGAAGCTTCCTGTAATATATCCAGGATTGGGTGTCAAGTATGACACTGCCAGCAGCTGGTAACATAATTTTCAGCTTCAAACGTCTTGAGCTTGAGAGATGTCCTACCTCCTATAGAGTTTTGGTAGTACATTTAAATAGCACTAATCAGGAGATGACGACCCCTTCATCCTACAAGAGGGGAGATGACTTCTTCTGGTGACTCTTCTTCCCAACTTTGATGGTCCACCATTTATAATTCAGTCTCATCTTATCTGATGATCTGATAATTCTCCAACATGATCCCTTAAACGTCACACCTTCTACTCGGAAGTGACATAGAACTGTGACCTGTTCCCTCCATAGTGTCTGTTACTTACTTGTGTTGATCGGTAGAGAAATGTCATCCTGATCAGTTTTCATCATCATCCCAACCTCCTCCGTGGACGGCCGGTCACCCCCCACATACGTCTCCACTTCTTCCTCTTTAACCTCAACTTTTATGATGATCCGTTCTTCACCCTAAACCCCAAAATAATAGAAAACATCTCATAAAGCTGAACTCCGTGGAGATATAAAAGACACAAAGGAATGCAGCTTATGAATACATCATTAAATATCTTTTTTTAAATGTAAGCAATTTAAGTACCTGGATGTGTCCTGATATCAGGTTCTTGCAGTCCCTGTACATCAAAGCTGGACTGTGAAAGGCAGAAGCAGCACAAACAGCCAATCAGCTGTGCTGCAGGGCTACTTAGAGTCATGAGGACAGGAAGTGAAAGCAGAGTGACAGAGAGATGAGTCCATCAGTCTGCTGCTCCTCATTTTACTGTCCGGGTCAAGACCAGTAGGTGTTGCTGACCTGTAGAAAAGAAAATCAGGTCTCCTGCTCTGCCTGTTTCAGGGCAGGTCTCCTACTCATTTCCTCTGAGCCCTGGGGCCAAGGACCCTCACCACACCAGCATGAACCACAGAAAAAAAGAACAGCACCACATATTTCAGCACGTGCCCTTTGGAGGGCACAACGACGAAGTGTAACCATGAGGTCACATGACTGGACCCAAGACCCATGGAAGAAAATTTTCAGTGAGTAAAATAAGTATTTGATCCCCGAGCAGAACATGACCTAGTACCCGGTGGGGAACCATTGTTGGGGAGTACATAAGCTGATAAGGATCTTGTCCCGGGTCTTTGCTCTAAGTCCGAAATAAAACCGGGTGGAACTTCGAGGGGGAGCCGAAAGCAAAGCGAGGGAAGGAGAGCAAAAACATGAAAAGAATGTCAACTGAGAACCTTCTGTATTCTCCACACCGAGTCCCACCTACCTGATCATGGTGGGGGATGGTGAGATCTTCCTGTGTGGAATCCCGTGAATACAGAGGACGGGGACATCTCTCTGGTGGGTTTGTGTCACTCAATGGCTCCATGATGATATCCTTGAAGGGGTCTTTGTGTCCTTCTTCCATCACACCAACCTCCTCCTCCTCCTTTATCTCTTCTTTAACATCATTATCACACTCACTCTGGTTTATACCCTGAATATTGAGAACAATGAGATCAGATGTAACTACATAGACAATGATCAGGAGAAAAAGTATCCCCTATTATCTATTATTTCTCTATTTCACCTTATGTGAGATGGTGAGATCTTCCTGTGTGGAATCCCGGGAATACAGAGGACGGAGACATCTCTCTGGTGGGTTCCTCTTACAGGATCTATCTGTAGGAAACACACACACACTGACTGAATACATTGTTTCTATGTGTGTATCAGTTGATGGGGATCTAGGTGGACCCTCCGTACTGCTCTCTCCTCTTACCCGGTGATGTGAGGGGCGGCTCATTCTCCATCACGACCTCCTTATAGAGATCCCGGTGTCCTCCTAGATACTCCCACTCCTACATGGAGAAATAGACAGACATCCTGACACCTTATAGGAACCTGACACACACAATGATACAGTCACCACCCCGACACATCCCTTGTCTGTTCCT